ACTAACAATATAGTTGAATACAAACTATAAGCTAAGAATACACAATAAATATGCACAAGCACTTATATTACAAAAGCTATTACTTAGAGCTTTGGCAATCGTGCTCGGAATTAAGGAAACAGTAAACTCTAGGATTACAGCTAAACACAAGTGACTCTACAGAACGAACTGTTGGCTCAAACAAACCTAGAAAGCTTAACCTTTCTTTTTCCCTTTAAAGACACGTCACCAGTTCCTTCATCACAAAACTGCTTGCAACATGCATAGGATTATATAGGTGACTCCTATTCAGACTAATATAATTTCCTCAGGGAAGAATTCAACAAACACAGTAACACCAGTGTTACTCTGTTTTCAGAACATCTCTAATACTGAAAACACTGATGCTCTTCGCAACAACTTCATAAACAACTCCCTCAAGGTGTCAATTCGGGGCTAAGGTGCACTTGTTAAACACAGGTAGCCTGGCTGTTTAATCTGACCAGAGTGGTTAAATTACTTGCACATTTGTCTCCAAAAGAAAACAGTATTGAAAAATACTTCCTACTTCTCTTCTGGGGACTAGAAACAATCCAAGTCAGCAGGCACTCACAGGCCATACTGACATGATCAAGCCTGTTTCCATGTTGACAAAACATTTCACAATGTATCCTAACTCCATTTGTAAAAAAGATTTATCTACCTGAAAGGCAGAGTGACTTGGGGGTGGGGGAGAGATCAATCAAAAGAAATCTTTCATTTGCTGTTTCACTTTCCAAGCTGCAACAGCCAGGACTGGACCAGGAAAAAGCTAAATGCCTGGAACTCAACCTGGGAAACTCCATACTGGGACCATGCAAGCTAGTTTCCACGAGCAGATATATGAACTGTGGCTTTATTTTGGCATTATGATTCTCATAAAAAACAATAGTAAAGAACAGACTCTAGCAATTTATAGCATTTCAATGCCATTTAAACAGTAAATTGAAGCACTTTTAAAATTCAGACAATAGTGGCCAGTATTTTGGCACAGTGAGTTAAAGCCCTGGCCTGCAGTGCCAGCATCCCACGAGGGCACCAGTTCAAGTCCTGGATGCTCTGCTTCTGATCCAGCTCTCTGCTATTGCCTGGGAAAGCAGCAGAAGATGGCCCAAGTCCTTGGGCCCCTGCATCCATGCAGGAGACTCAGAAGAAGCTCCTGGCACCTGGCTTCAGGTCAGCTCAGCTCCAGCTGTTGCAGCCATTTGGGAAATGAACCAGCAGATGAAGACCTCTTTGTCTCTTTCAAATAAATAAAAATTTAAAAATTTTTTTAAAATTAAGAATTCAGACAATACCCATAGACACGTCCCTATACTTGACGTCTAGTCCAGGCAATCCTTGTTTTGAAAAGAACACTAAATATTTCAGTCTCTTTTACCTCAACCCTTTAAAGGTTAAAAAAGTCTTTGGTCTTCTTCAAAGGCACAGATCTGAGAAGCCACCATGACCACCTTCTCCCAGCACACTACACTGCTGGCAGCACTGGTACCTAAGGCACTGGCCCACCATGTGTCACCCCTCCTGACTGCCTGTCTTTAGGAACTAGTACCTGGGAAGGCCGGTCAGGATACAACTGCTGTCTGCGGGACACCTAGTGATCAGTCACTCTAACCAAAGCCAAGAGGGGAAAAAAAAGCTTGGTGAAAGAACACGAAGCTGCAAGCTGATGGCAGCACTCGTGGATTTTCAAAAATGATCACAGTGGCTTTTTCTAGCATCTGTTTAAGATTGAGCTAAATTTTGGAATAAACTTCACCTTGTTTGCATGGTGCAGAAACCTGAGACACTTCCTTTGTGAGACAGAGGAACCATTCTCTCAGAAGGCAAGGCTTCTGCAATGAAATGTCTTACAGTAAACATTGTCTTAAGGTGAACTTGTAGTCAAGTAGTGACCTGACAACGAAGGCTTGCACTGGGCCCACCAAACTGTATGCATGCTTTCTAGACAATATTAATACATATTTGCAGTGGACAGTTTAAGACAGAATATTTAAGTGTCCAGGTATTTCTTTCTAGCTCATAAATTTGATGCTTCATTCAACAAGAACTTATCAAGTGTCACTATATATCATACGCTGTTCTAAGAGCAAATAGTGACAGTGTCCACAGCTGATCTAAGAAATAAAAATTCTAGGGCTTGGGGCCAGCGCTGTGGCGCAGCAGGTTAATGCCATGGCCTGAAGCGGCAGCATCCCATATGGGCGCTGGTTCGAGACCCGGCTGCTCCACTTCCAATCTAGCTCTCTGCTGTGGCCTGGGAAAGCAGTGGAAGATGGCCCAAGTGCTTGGGCCCCTGCACCTGTGTGGGAGACCAGGAAGAAGCTCCTGGCTCCTGGCTTTGGATCAGCACAGCAGCCAATTGGGGAGTGAACCAGCAGATGGAATACCTCTGTGTGTGTGTGTGTGTAGCTCTGACTTTCAAATAAATAAATAAATCTTTAAAAATAAATAAATAAGTCTTAAAAAAAAATCTAGGGCCGGTGCTGTGGCATAGCAGGTAAAGCTGCTGACTGCAGCACCGGCATCCCATATGGGCACTGGTTCTAGTCCTGGCTGCTCCACTTCCAATCCAGCTCTCTGCTATGGCCTGGGAAAGCAGTAGAAGATGGCCCAAGTCCTTAGGCCCCTGCACCCATATGGGAGACCCAGAAGAAGCTCCTGGCTTCGGATCAGCCCAGCTCTGGCAGTTGTGGCCATTTGGGGAGTGAACCAGTGGATGGAAGACTTCTCTCTCTGCCTTTGCCTCTAACTCTGCCTTTCAAATAAATAAGTAAATCTTAAAAAAAAAAATAAAAATTCTGTGACAAAAATTTTGCTAAGAAATAATGAATAGATGAATACTGAGGAATTTAACAGTATTAGGAAAATCTAATGCCAACCCATGTACTTGGAACACTACGTCAGAATACAAATCCCAGTACTTTTGGCAAAACATCCAATTTCAGCATCTTTTCCACTATCATAAAAAAATATAAAAAATAAATAAGGGAGGCAGTTTTTTAAGGGAACTATGCCTTCCCACTTTCTCTTTCACTTGTCATAAATATATAAAGCATTCCTCTGAGAAAAACAGAAACAAAGACAAAAAAATAAGAAATAAATAAAAATTACAACTAGGGTAAATAATAACAGAAATACGTGCAAACAGAAGTACATGTTATATCATCAAATTTGTGTTGCCAATTTAGGGTCTGCTTGGTGTTGGTGGTACGTTAGGCATAGCTGTGAACAGAATAGTCTGATTTCACTGGCCTACTCAGGGAGCCAATTCTTTCGTAAGAGCACATTAAAGGAATAGAAAGGTTGCTTCTCAAATCATGCTACCATTTGGCTATAAACGTTAGAATGAAATTTTAGTGCCTGCTAACTAGAATCACTAGTCAACACTTGAGCACAAATGGCCAATTCCTAAAACTTAGATCTGAATCAAAAACTGAAGAACAAGAAAAAGCAAAGGTATACATAAAAAGGACACGCAAACAGTAAGCAGTGACAAGTGATTAAAGCTAAAAGAACGAGTTCTAAGTTATAAGGAAACCGTTCCTCTGGGCCTTCGCCCAGAACACAAAAATTTGGAGGCGGAACGCTGGTGGTTTCAAGGCAACAAGGGTTCCAAATTTGCTGCCTCATTCCTTTATCTGCAGAAGCTTCCTCTGACAGGGTCTCTGTCGAAATGCCCACTATCACGCTGGCAAACCCAGCAGGGCACAGAAGCCCTCAGACAGGTGGAAATGCATTGTTAGAAAACCCCGCAGACAACGTATGTAACGCTAAGATCAGAAATGCAGCTTTCAGAATGATCAATCTAAGAATCCACGGAAGGAGACGATGAGGCATGCTAAAACCTCTCGAAATCCTGTAATGCAACTAAATAAGACAGCAAAATTATCTGTGCACACATCCCCTCCTCCTCCCACCCCGCCCCCGCCCCCGCCGGGCTCCGTTCCTTTAAGAACCAGCACCTGTCGGCGGTGCACACTGTTTCTCAGGAAAGCATCTGCAGTGCGGATCCCAGCACGAGGGGAGCTGGCCAGGCCGCTCCCCCCAGCAGGCCGGCGCGCGTACCCTGGGAACCGAGCCGCCGGCAGCCTCCCCCCACCCGGTGGCTCACAGCGACGGGAGAAGGGGCTTCACCCAGCCTCTGCTTTGTCTGAAGGTCCTCCCCCTCCCCCGTTCCTGTAGTAAGCCCCCCTTTGTTATAGGGCCATCAACAATAGCCCACAGAAAACACCACACCGAAACGCGTCCGAGGCTCGGCACGACTCTATTATCCTCCGGAATATGAGCGACCGCCCGCGCGTCCCCACCCCCACGCGCGCCAGCGACGGGCGGGCGGGCGGCGATGCAGAGGCGGCCCCGCATCCATCTTGGACCCTCGGCAGCTCGCTCCCGGCTCCATTCTCCTCACCCCGCAGCCCCGGCCTCGCCGAGAACCGCCGAGGCACGGGCTCCAAGGCTGCCGTTCGACCTCCCCATCCTCCCCCACGGGCAAACAGAAATATTTTTAATGTCGAGGACCGTCATGCGTGTCTGCTTCTGTCAACACCTGTCTGCGGGCGTGCCGTGCAAACCGTCTTACCTCCGCGCCCGCAGACAATCCTAACCCATCCCTGCTCCCCCCGCCCCGACCCCCTCGACCCCGCTAGCCGTCCCCCCTGCAGGCACCCCGGGTCCGCGGGGGGCTCGTCGGCCTCCCCGAACGCGGTCCGCCCCCCGCGCCGCGCACTCCTCCTCTTCCTCGCGCCCCCCCCCCACCTGCCGGGCCGCGGCGTGAACGCCCACTCGCTCCCCGCCCCCAACCTGTTTTCCTCACACCCCGTTATTTCCTCACCGCCCGCACGACCTTGCGCTCCCCTCCCCCTTTGCCCGTTTTCCAAACGTTCGTCCCCGGGGGGCGGGCGGGAGCCTCCCCCGGCCCCCCAGCCCCCCGGCCCCCCTCGCCCGCCCGCCCTGGGGCGGGGGCCCCCCGCGCGCCTCACCCGCACAGGAGGAGCCGCAGCTCTTCGTCCCCAGGGCGGGGCAGGCTCCGGGGCTCCCGCCACCGCCGGGCGCGGACGGCTCGGCCCCGGAGGACGACGAGGAGACGGACGGGGACTGAGTGGCCGCCGACGACTCTGCCATGGCTGCGCGAGCAAGGGCCGGAGAGGGGCGAAGAGAGACGCGGGGCGGGAGCGAGGGAGGGGAAACCGAAGAATCGGGCGCTCGGCTCTGCGAAGTCTCCGCCACACGCCTGCCCCGCGGACGGACTCCGACAGACTGACTGACTCAACCGAGCGCAGCTAGAGGGCGGGAGCGCGAGCGCGCCTGCGCACAAAGGCCCCGCCGGCGGGCGGCGGGGGCGGGCGGCGGCCGAGCGGAGGCGCGCAGCGGCGCAGCGCGCAGGCGCGAGAGCTGTCCCTCCGCGCTCCCGCGGGGAAGGAGGGGGGCAGAACCTGTCTCGCGCCGCGGCGGGCGCGCGCGCGAGGTGGGGAGCAGCCCCTTGGGACTAGACGCAGAGGGCGTGGCCAAGCGCCAAGCTCCGCCCACCGCTGCCGCGGGAGCCGGCGGGTTGCTGCCCGGTGATCGTCGCTCACGGCGCCATCGGTGACTTGTTTTTTAGGGCTGGCGTATGTGACGTTTGGGCAATGGGGGGGTCTCTTGGTGCATGTGTTAGCTAGAACCATCTTTCCCCGTGCATTCCAGAGCGGGGTCTTTGTCTGACGCTGCCGCTGCGGGGTGGACCCCGCGGGGCGGCGTGGGCGCATTCTGCAAGGTGCACCCCCTCAGCACGACGCGGGGACGGCCCGGGCTCCCCGTCTGATGAGGCGGAGCGATGCTCTGCAGCGTGGACCACCATTACTCATTCCGGTCACACCGCAGTGCAGCGGCGGAACCTGCTTCGTATTCTTACCTCGTTACTGTCCTAAGCAGGGGTCCACGCCGGGTCTGAGGCGGCCTTTTCCTCCGAAAAGATGCATTTTAGAGAGGGGACAAGAAAAAGCTGAGCTGATGGAGAAAGAACAGCCGGCAGACAGCATACTGCCCGCGACTATGGGGGTGGGGATGCGTGTGAGATTAATGGGGCATTTAGAAATACGCATAACTGAATTCTACGCATAGCCTAAAAGGGCTCCGTAGCAGAAAGTGTATTTGAAACCATTTAGTTTATTAATATTTCATTTTGTTATTTTTGTTTGTTTCTCCTGGACTGGATTGCCAAATTCAAAGCCTTCTCCTTACATCTGGTCAAAATGTTTGAAAGGATCATAATCCCTTTAAGGGGGTGGGGGAGTGTGTCCTGGACAGAAGAAAAATCAAGGCTGCAGGCTTTTTGTTGCTAAAGCAGCAATGGATGGCCCGAAGCGTAATCGCGGGGTCTGCGAATCCTGCAAAGATGCGACCTCAAGAAGGGTGAGGCGGTCAGCCTGGCGGCCATGGAGGGGAAAAGCAGACCAGAGAAAACCGAGATCGGGCTGCTGGGCACATCTGCCCTTGACAGTCCTTAAGGTCAGGGGTGTGGGGGGAGGGTGAAACAACCTCTTGGCTGGATCTTCCCCCAAATAACCTCATGATAGATATCTTACCCTGGCACTGCATCTGTCCATAATGCAGCGAAGTGTCCCTTGGATGACAAAGGGAAATCTGAGCCAATCTGATAACCGAGCCAGTTAGCCACCCATTCTGACACAGGCCTACCTTTAACAACATATTTAAGTGCTAGATGAGAAACGATGCTAAAACTCATGTGGTCTTGGTGGTCTCTTAAGACCATAATTTACATTAACTTTATTTTTTAAAAAAAGATTGATTTATTTATTTGAAAGTCAGAGTTACACAGAGAGAGGAGAGGCAGAGAGAGAGAGAGAGAGGTCTTCCATCTGCTGGTTCACTCCCCAGCTGGCTGCAATGGCTGGAGCAGCACAGCGCTGATCTGAAGCCAGGAGCTTCTTCCGGGTCTCCCATGCAGGTGCAGGGCCCAAGGACTTGGGCCATCTTCCACTGCTTTCCCAGGCCACAGCAGAGAGTTGGATCGGAAGTGGAGCAGCCAGGTCTCAAACCAGTGCCCATATGGGATGCCGGTACTTCAAGGCCAGGGCGTTAGCCCGCTGCGCCACGGCGCTGGCCCCTAACATTAACTTGCGTGCTAGGTCTTGAAATGGTCTTTCCTTCCTGCTTTCTCTTGCTTGCTCTATCTTGGTTCTTCTGTAGAATGTTCCATTTTTGTTCCATGACTATCTACTGACCACCTGCTGTAGATTTGCTATTATCTACAGAATTTAGGAAGGACCCCCCCAAAATACTTTGTTCGTCCTGTCTTCAATGAGCTTTCAAACTTGAGCATGGGGAGTACTCACATAAAGTCAAATAATACAAATTAAACAGCAATCAAAAACAATCTCATACAGCACAAAATCAGGAACTTTTGCTTATGTGGCCAGTGGCCTGTCTGAATTTGAGGTGGGAAGGAACCCGTGTGGAAGGAGTTGTAGTGGCTCGGGAAGCTTTTATGCAGAAGCTCCAAGTTCAGAAGGGGTTTGGACTTGTAAGGAGGTTGTTAGAGGCTGGGAAGGGCACAGTGAAGTGGGCGTTGTTTTGTGCGTGTTCGCAAAAGGGCATCCTCCTGAGCCGAGGAATCACCGACAGCCCCGTCTTCCTCCCAGGATGCAGTTCAGGCTGCCTGCCTGGCAGAACCTGTCCTAGGTTTGATGGCCTCTCGCCCCTCCCCTCCGCGGCTGCCTTGGGGCGACACAGACTGTGCAGCCATAGGTGGTGGCTGGAGGCTCTGAAGTGTGATCATGCGTGTGGTGTTCTGGGTGTTGGTTAGATCAGGTTGACTGGAATTCAAAGGCTCGAACTGGGACAAGAGAGAAGATATGGGGACAAGATATGAAATGGGTTAAATGCGTCGGGACTGAAGCAGTGAGGAGGTATGCATTTGGTGCCAAGGTTAATGACTACATCCCACGTCAGAGTGCCTGGAAAAGTCCCTGCTTCGCTTCTGAGCCCAGATTTCTGCTAATGCACACACTGGGGAGCGGCGAGTAGATGGCTCAAGTAGTTGAGTCCTTGCCACCCATGGGGGAGACCTGGGATGCGATCTGGACTCCTGGCTTCAGCCTAAGTCTAGCCCTGGCTGTTGTGGGCATTTGGGGGAGTGAACCAGCAGATGGAAGATTTTTCTCTGTCTGCTTTCCAAATAAAATAAATAAAACATTTAAAAATAATTGGGGTCAGGTCGGCACCGTGGCTCACTAGGCTAATCCACCGCCTTGCGGCGCCGGCACACCGGGTTCTAGTCCCAGTCAGGGCGCCGGATTCTGTCCCGGTTGCCCCTCTTCCAGGCCAGCTCTCTGCTGTGGCCCGGGAGTGCAGTGGAGGATGGCCCAAGTGCTTGGGCCCTGCACCCCATGGGAGACCAGGAGAAGCACCTGGCTCCTGCCATCAGATCAGCGCGGTGCGCCGGCCGCAGCGCACCGGCCGCAGCAGCCACTGGAGGGTGAACCAACGGCAAAGGAAGACCTTTCTCTCTGTCTCTCTCACTGTCCACTCTGCCTGTCAAAAAAAATAAATAAATAAAATAAAAAGAGTTTGGTAAAGTAGCAGGATTCAAAGTCATTGCTCAGAAATCAGCAGCCTAAAAATACACAGACAATGCCGTGGCTGAGGAAGAACTTCTAAGATCAATCCATTCACAATACCACAAAAACAATCAAGTACCTTGGGATAAATTTAACCAAGGATGTCAAAGACCTCTATGATGAAAATTACAAAACATTAAATAAATAAATAGAAGACACAAAAAAAATGGAAAAATCTGCCATGCTCATGGATTGGAAGAATCAATATCATCAAAATGTCCAACCTCCTAAAAGCAATTTACAAGCTCAATGCAATACCAATCAAAATACC